CCACAACATCTGTTACCTACCGACGAGATCAGGACCTTGCCGTAAGATCCCGAGGCAGAACCACCGAAAAGCTACGTTTACTCGTTCTGCGCAAACCCGTGAAACCCGTGATTCCGCTCTTCTAGAGACGGTTATCGAATGTAAGTTATTCCAACATGTCACAGCGCCTACTCGTATAATTGCAGGACAAACACCCCATATCCTCGACCTTGTACTCTCACTGGCACAATCAGATGTCACCGACCTAGCCATTCTTCAGCCTATTGGTAAAAGCGATCACTGTGTCATTACATTCCTCTGGACTCGACGACTTACTCTCCACAACCAAGGTCGCCTCCTCAGAAATTTCTGGCGTGTTGATCCCCAACGCTTACAAACGGCTGCCAGTAGTGTGGACTAGAGTATGCCCGAATCCCTGAATTTGGACGATGAGTGGAAACTCTTGCACTCCAAAATGATTTCGCTTGTTGAGCAGGTCGTTCCTGTCTACAAAAGACCTTTTGTCAGGGGTCCTCCATGGATTGATCGAGAACTGAGGTGCCTAATGAACAAAAGACGGAAACTGTGGGTCCGATTTAAGCTCACGCAATCCGGGTCTGACTATTCGGAATATAAAGTGGCCAGAAATATCTGCAACTTGAAAAACGAGAGAAACGGCAAAAGTACGAACTCGGTTTGGCCTTGAAATCCAAGACAACGCCCAAGGCACTTTTCTCTTACCTGAAGAGAAATACCAGAGCAGGCAGTGGTATTCCTGCTCTGTATTCCTTGGCTCATGTGGGTTTGCTTGACGATGATGCTGCGAAAGCCAGTCTCCTGGCCATGCAATATGCATTTGTTTACTCGATGGAGACGCCGTTTCCCAGAAACGCGATGCCAATACTCCCTTCTTCGTTGGAGCATGTAGAAATGAGCGTCGATATCGTTGCCAAAGGTATTTGTGAATTAGATCCGAACTCCTCGCCAGGTCCTGATGGGTTGCACCCGCTGTTCCTCAGGACTGTGGCCGATTTCATTGCCGCTCCCGTTTGCCGG